CTGTTTCAAAGCAACTGCGGTTATACTATACTATGTCAACAAAAGTCACTTTTGCCATATGGAAACCTAATTACTTCAGAATGATCTGTTAGAAAGCACTTTTGAGATAGCCAGGCCATTTATACAAATCAGTAAAAAATATTTGTGCATGAAACCTTTCTTAAATAAGAGCTTTCATGTGTTATAGGTTGAACGTTACAGTGATAGTTTTGGAAATATTAAAAAAAGTAGACTTCTATTTAAAAGGTGGTAGGGAAATATATTAGGTGATAAGAAAATACGAGTATTTCCCTATGATTTCTGTGATAAACCTGATCGTGCTATCGTTGAATGGAGAGGAGTTTTTTTTGCTGTTTTCTTCAGCAAGACCCTAATATTGTGGGAAATGGGATGAAATATAGAATGCTACATTTTAGTGAGATCGTGTGATGCCAGGGATATTTATCTGTGTAGTATTTGTTCCATAAAATGACTTAAAGCTTCCCTCCCCAATAGTGTAGCTTTTTTCCCTTCTGTAGTCCATGACATGCTTTGCTTTGTTTTTACGTTTGGGTGTTTGTCACCTCTGAGTTGTTTAGGGCACCTGTTAATCAGACATTTTTTTTTGTCACTATGAAACTAGAGAATATCACAAGTTTGATTAATTAAGTGTGATAGTTCTATACCTAGACTCTTATTATTTGCTGTCAGTAGCTGTTACTGCAACAATATACTTCTAAAAGACACTGTAATCTTCATAATTGTAAAAGAAATTTTGCAAGCTCCATGAATGTCTATGTTTCACAGTGAAGCCAGGTTGACTGATGTGTTCAAAGGTTTGTCCTAGTTGTCAAGGTATAGAAGCATAATTTATGGATAGTCTATTACATACATGAAGTTTTAGATGGTTTATTTTCTGACTCTAACTGCATAGACTTCTGACATATAAACCATCTGTTCTGCATTGCTTTTCTTGAAAGCATTTCTATATTCAGTCATTATGATCTACCTAAATCAGAAGACATGAAATATTTAGAACCAGATTTTTTTACGTGTTGTTAGTACTGGGGAGCAGCAGTGACCCAGGGGAAAACTAGAGTTTTCTGTGTTCCTGCCAGCCATTGCAATGTCGTCCCGACAGCCCCTTATAAGAAAGGCAGTGTAGGTTCTCCTGGCTATCTGCTTGCTTCTAGCTGCTTTTGTACTGCTGAGGGCATCTGTGCCAAGGAGCAGCTCCTGATCTCCAGGACCGGTGCTGCAGACTTGCTCGTACCCTGTGGGCTCAGGGCCGAGTAGAGCAGATTGGTTGTGCCCGTGCTGGGCCCAAGTCTCCTCTGATTGCCAGATGGCAGCCACCAGCCATATAGCACAATATTTCTTTTTTTGTGGTTTTTTTTCCTAGTTCAAATTTCCTGAAATAATATGAAGGTTTTATCGCAGACTTCCACAGCAGTGTTTAATACCCTTCGCGTGACACGAAAGAATATAGGCTGGTTATCAGGGGATGTGGCAGGACAAAGTAGTTTAAAGGCACAGAATCAGCTGGGCTGAAACTGGAGAACTGAGTGGAAGGAGACAAACCTGGTATGATTTCACTTGTAATGCCCTTCTGAGCTGTTCCTGGGGTTATAAACAGTTTTTGTCTTGGAGAAGACTCACTAGTTTTCTGCAAAGGACAGCCTGAGAGCAAAGTAACATATAGGCACTGTGGAAAATCCAGAGATGAGAGCTGAGGAGGGAACTAGGAGATGACATGATTTGACACTGCAGGTCTGCTTTCAAATGAAGAGTAACTGTAGCTTTATCTCCTTTCCGTGCTCTCTGAAGTAGCTGATACGCCAGTCTGCAAGTGCCAGGAATATTGGAGCTGGCTTCTGTCATCTTGTTCCTGTCACAGTGCTGCTAATCCGTTATAAGGTCATCCAGGATTTGTGCTTTAAATTGGACGTAGTCATTCAAAAATTCTAAAGAGTATAGTTTTGTCAGATATAATTTGTTTGGTCTCCTTAAGTTGACCAGTTTAACTCGGTTCAACGTCTGTGTATCACCTCAGATACAGTGGTCCAAGCAGAGATATCATGGGAAAAGAATTCCATTCCGTTTTATTTTAACGGTGTTAAACCAATTTATAGCTGCTGGTAATTTGGTTCTGTGAGAATATGATCAAGTATGTTGTCTGTACAGTGGATGTTTTATGTAATCATATTAAGGTACAGTGCTATGAAATGGCACCTCTTTGAACCTACCAACAAGGTAGAGTTGATTATAAACTCTATAGCTACGTATTTCTGAAGGGATTGATTCCACTGAAATACTAAAAGACAGAATAGTTGCTCTCAGGATCTGAGGGAACCAAAATACCTTAATAGTCGTGACCAGCCTCACCTGGGACCCCAGCCTGCACTCTCTGCCCATGGCCCAGGAGCTCCCTCTGACCTCAGCCCCACTTCTTGCCTGAGCCACGTTGTGGACAGACCATCTCCAGCCTTGCTTCCTGCTGGCTGGGCTTCGTGGCTGGAGCCTCAGCCTCTGCTGTAGCTTTGCGTCCAGCCTTGTCTCCTGCTGTTTCTGACTTGTCTTCCTGGACAGACGCTAGTCCTGAGTTGTCCCCTTGTCTTGTCGCAGGACAGTCAGCTAAAGCTGTTATGTCGTGGGTGCTGCCCTCCTCCGGTGCTGTGGGACGGCACTGTTGCCGGTGAGGACTGCCACTGCTTGTGCTGGGGTCACCCTGGGCTCCTGGCTTATCTTCCCTCATGGAGCAGCCCAACTTCTTGCTGCTCCCTGCCTGTTTCCCATCTTGTTTCATGCTGCCACTTAGTAGAAAATCATGAAACAAAAGACTTGTTTTGACAGCTTTTCTCCAAATGCAGGTTGGACTAGTTGACCTTCCTCCAGCAGGCTGCCAGAGAATTTTGTGTGACTCCTTTTAACTGGAGTGGGTGCTCTTTTAAGACGATTAGACTTGTCCAATTAAAATCTTCTGAGAAAGGATGTAGGGGGGGCAGAGATGGACAAATGCTGCATTACTTCTTCCTAAAGGCTGTAAGTCACAAGGGGAAATTTAACGTGTGAAGCAGTTTGTAGAGTATAACGAGAATTTGCCTGAGGGTACAGATACTCATTGTTTCTTTGAAGAAATTAGTGTGATGTGAAAAGGGTGCTAGTCTAGAAATGTGTCTAGTGCTAATCACCTTTTTGTTTTCTTTTCTTTCTTTTTTCCTCCAGAAGAATGGAGAGGGATTTAAAGTAATGCTTAACGACTTCCTTGTGCTCTGATCTGTTAGGTTGTTCCATATCTAGAGCTCCTTGGATGAATTCAGCTTTCATTGTTTTTTGCTTATACTGGATTTATTGAATAGTCATGTATCCTTCCCTACTTTCTTCCTTCTTCCCCTCCCTAATTCCAGGATGGTCCGGGAGGTGATGTAGTGACTATGACACAAGGTTTACTTGGATTTTTCTTTAAAATATCATGTAAAACTGGTTAGTGTTTTCTGAGGATACAATATAGAAAAGTATTAATATCTCCTTTTAAATATTTTGAAACATAAGCATCATTTTTGCAAAACAAGGAAATAATGTAAAAAAGTGCAATTGGAATAAGAAACACGGGGGAATGAGAGCTATATGGTGATCTGAGGAATAGGTCTAAACATTTATAAAGCATGTGTATATGTCTAAAGCAATTTATAAGCTCCCATTGACATACTGATAGAATAAGTAGAATGGTGTTTATCCCTGTGGCCATTCTATTTGCAGTTTATTTGGTTTATCGAGTATATAGAGGTGAGTAGTTCTGTGCATGTAGATGTATTCTGCAATGACATTGCTGCCATCATATGTCTAATATAAAAACATTTATAAACTCTTTCTAAACTGTCTTTAAATACTGACATTAGTATGCTACCAGCAGCTGTTATAAGGGGAAGCCTACTCCTGTGTCTTTTATTCCCTCTCCGCATTTCCAAGAATTATTTTGGACTGTTAAAAACGGAATTTTGGACATAGATCTAGGAACTAGTAGAGACACCATTTTCAGTTTTCTACCTCTTAGCTCACTTGCCATTGAATAACTACTGACTCCAGAACAGAAGCAAGTATTTAATAAATCAGCATAATAGAAAAGCAGCACATTCAAATTGACATGGGGTCTGAATTCCTCCACGGTTTAGAGATTTCTAAAGTTACGTAGTAACAATGTTTCATTCTTTCTTCATTTTGCCATGGATGATGGCTATTTTTCATTTGAGGAAAAGAAACCTTAAATGAGAACTAAATGCTAAAGTATTCTTTATATGTGTCTCAGTAAAGGTACCAATACAAGCAAAAAGCTTGCTGTAGTAATTACTCTGTTTGGTTCAGATATCGATATGCTATATCGGTAGCAGCTCCTCTGATATCAAAATCATGTAAACGGAACTACTCGGGTACAATGAGAGCCTGGCTCTGTGTTAAACCTTGATCTTGTAGCTACTAGATTACATTTCTGTGTTGTGCATAGGGGGCTTATGTGTGTTGTTAAATGGGAGACAGTGGTGTTTCTGAAGTGTTTACGGTCTTTAGTCCTCCAGACCTATCGCTTTACACTATGATTCCCTCCTAAAGTAGATCTGAAACTAATTAATCCTTAATTTTGCAAAAGTTCACTTCCTAGTTTGAAGTCTGTCTTTATAAATTTTTTCTTTTTCTTTTTTTTTTTTTAATTCAGTGAACTAGACCAAACACTAAATGTCAAAATTGTAGTTGCTAATATTGCTAAAAAGTTGCTAATACTGATTCAGCTCTGAACTTCACATCGCGTAGCCAGTCATGATGCTTTTGAAGAAACTTTGTGGTTGACAACTTTGTGCCATTAAATTAACTTCTCATTCTTCTTTGTTTGGAATTCTTTAATGGACAAGGGAATATGTTGGTGGTTCTGTAGTCATCCATCTGTGCAAAACTTGCATACTGATTTCAGAATACTTAAGTATTATGCTCGCAGGTATCGTTTATCTAAATAGATAACTTCTGTTTTTCAGACCTTACCAGTACGGAAGATCCCGTGCAAAGCCAATGCTCCTTCAGGGTCTTTTTTTGCACGAGACAACACAGCAAATTTCTTATCCTGGTGCAGAGATGTAGGAGTGGATGATACCTGCCTGTTTGAGTCAGAAGGTTTGGGTATGTATTTGTTTATACGGTAGTTGGTAATTCTAAATAACTTTTCTTTTGTGTTTTGCCTTGAAAGAGAGAATGGCTCTCTTAACAGATCCTGACTCCAAATCTGACCTGTGTCTGACTGTGTTAATTCTGCCCCTCATCTGAAGCATGAACAAATAAAGTACACATCACTTAAAAATAACTTAAATCAATTTTGAGAGGAGCCTAAATGAGTTAAAAATCTTACTATAATTTCTTGCACGCAGATGATTTTTCACCCTACACACGCTTTTTTGATCATGGAATGCTGTTCCTTAGTTCAATGAATAAGATAGTCCTTTTCTGTTTAGGGAGAGTAGGATACAAGTGCATTCTCAGTTTTGGCTGCAGACATCTAGCTATTCGTGCAGATTCAACGGGTTGCTCAGGAGGCAAGAAAAGATGACATTTTTCTCTGCATCCTACACTGAGATTTTTTTCCAGCTGATTCCCTTGTACAGCTCTAGACAAAAATTATCCAACACTAGTGCTTCAGGGTGTTCCATCAAAAGAATTGGAAATTACTGTTCTAATAGTACATATTCTTCATTATTTTAACTCTTCTCTCTTCAAAGGAAAACTTATGAATCTTACCTTGAGATTTTATTTCAGCCAAATGTAATGAAATGAAGAGAGTAAAATGTTCGTTTGTTATCTGAACTCAGATAAAAGTGTAAAACAGTTGTGATGGTAGACAGCTCAGTTTCTTTGGAAGACAAATGAACACACTGTACTGAATCAAGAGGCTTTTTTGTTCTGTTGCTCAAAAGGTCTTTGACTGCTCAGTTGAAGCTCTTATCTGTGTTGCAACTGACCTATTCCCCTTCTTTTACAGTCTTGCTCTTCTAGCACAACTGTTCCTGAAGCAATTTTTTTTATTTGTCTGTTCTTTTATCCTGTGAGGTTTTTTAATTAAATTTAAATTATTTTATATCTCCAGGAGAAAATGCTTGGCAGAGAAGAAATTAGTATCACAAAGGTGACAAATAGTAAGGAGGATATATGTATTGTCTCTGTTTTGTTAACTAAATTCTCAAGATGAAATTTTTATTCGACATGGTAAATCATATGGAAGATGAACAATAATTGTATTTCCAAAGACTTGAAATTATGGACAAGTTGGACATTGCCTAGGACAAAGAGACTTGCAAACACAAGAAGGAAGGAGACACAGACCTCCAATGTCTGAGATAAGCAGAAGAACCTGTGGTTAATGCAACACTTAAATGAATTTAGACTTTGTCCTGTTATGGTAAACTCAGCAGTTTACCATTGTTCCAATAATAGGTTAACTGTGTAATTTGAGAGCGTGTTTGTAAGGAATTTTCTCATGCATCGTTAAGAAACCAGATCTTGCTTGGAGGTGGAGCTGGCATAGCTGAAATACTGACATTCCCTGGATAAGCTAATTTTTACTCATACATAATACTTTGCCTGCCACAGTATAACACTGAGTGCAAATGCACCTGGAAAGTCAATGTTCAGGATGACTTCCTCCCTCAGAAAACTGACATGAAATATGCCCAAATACACAGTGTGCAAACCTGTGCTATATTAGATTTGTTTGATTAGTGACTGATTTTCTTCACTGTTTGAAAACTAGGTTCTGTTGTTTTCCTTCTCTGAGTGTTACTGTTTATAGAATGTACTTGTTGAAAAGACTTATGGTTCTGGAAATAGGATTAGGACTTGATAATATTTTGACCTATTTTTCTAAGCTTGAGAAGGAGATAGTGACCGTACCATTTCTAAAAAAGATAAAAATATAAGCTACTATTCTCCCTCAGTTTGAGCTAGAACTCTTAAAAGTTTTGATTTCATTTGAGGTTTTTCTAATGCATTAGAAATAATGATGAATCATAACAGTTGCCAATCTAAAGCTTTTATGTTCTTCTCTCACCCACAAATGATGTCTCCACTGCATAGGAAATAAAAATTCAGCAAAGGTAAGTAATATCAAAGGTTCTATTTGAAGTGTTGAGAAACGTGTGTGAATGACATCTAAGTGTTCGCACTGCCTCATGGAAGTCTGCTGTATTTTTGATAATATATAATTGTGGTGAAATTACGGTTATAGAGGTAATTGTTTTTTGTGTTTTCTTGTGTCTTTTTCCCCATGGCTAATAAGCTGTATTGATGTGAAAATTGCTAGTGATAAAGCAACTATTTTCTGTCTATGTTGAGGAACCTTACTGTGTTAATGTTCTTAATTGACTTGATTTTTATCCTCCTTTTTTACTCTATTCTGCTTGCCTTATGGTATGTAAATACTGTATTATTTCATTAGATGCACATAGTGATATTTTCTTCATGCCATTGTATCACATAAAACATTCCTGAGGCCTTTTTCTGGCAAATTTGTATTCTAACATTATAAGAGTAATTTTGAAGATTTATTGCACTGAAACATTTGAATGATGGATTTATTAAACATCTAATTTGGGGGGGGGGGGGGAAGTCCCAAGTCTATTCAGAAATCAGCAAAATTAGATATATATTAGCTAAGAAATTATTAATTGCTATTATTTCTCATTACTTAAAAATATGTTCTCATCCTGATGAGTTCTGTAGTCTTTGAAATCATGCAAGTATAACTGCACACCAGTGCATCCAACACTCCCACTTTTTTAGCACTCAGATTGATGTCATATGAAGGTATTCCTCACTGGAATGGAACTGTGTCAAGCAGACACTATAGCAGATAGGTGCAGTCCATGCCTGAGGAGCCTGCGGGCGAGTGATATTAATGGGAATCTTGAGTGTTCCTAGAAGCTTCGTTCTGCAAAGCGTTAACATTCTAGGGCTGATCCAGACAAGCAGGTGAGTAGACCTACTCATGGCACTTCGTGTCCTTGTCCACCACTTGTGGACTGATTTAGTAATTTATTTAATCACTTAAAGTTAAGCATGGGTTCAAATGCTGCTTTGGATTTGGGCTATCCAGCTGAGCTAAACAAGGAAACAGGACCAAAGTCTTTCTTCAAAATAAATAGAAGGAAAAAAAAAAGCAGTATTTGTTACGCTGGTAGATATGCTTATGCCTTCTAATCAGTAGAGTTACTTTAAAGATCCTTGAAAGAGATCAGTAGAGAGCTCAAAAGTTTGAAAACAATGCACTTGTACTACTAACCTGTAGTTAGTATTCTATAATATTATATATTTTGTCTTGCTGAATGTTATGATTCTTTAACATAGTTTAAAAAACAATTTGAAAATACAGTTTTCTGTAAAGATTTACAATACAGCCAAAGCTGACTGGTAGCAATCTGTATGTATTTTGCCCTTTGCACTTACCTTAATGCAGAGACATGGCAGGAAAGTCTCAGAATTAATGCCTCTGCAAGGCAAAGGTGGCAGCTGTGCTTGTTGCATGAGCTGCAGAAAAGACATTAGCATCTGTAACAAATATAGCAACACAGTATTTAGGGATAATCTTGAATGCTGCAAAATAGAGGGAGACTGCATGCTCCCTGCCCTCATTGACCAATTTAGCATGCTTTTCATAATTGTTATTTTTATAGTGAGTGTAGTTAAAGAAGAAGGAATTAGTTTTGTTGATACCAAAAACTATGATCTAAAGTCCAAACTTTCATCAACCGGGCAAATCTTGAGATACACTGTCTTTAAGTGGGGTTCTTAGATACCTCATAGGTCAAAATTTGTCCTGTATCTAGGACTTGGAACATAGAGCACTAACTCTTTTCAATCTAAGAAAAGTAATACTGTCTGTAACTCCTCTGTTCCCATGATATATATATATTTTGTAAGTTCCCCTTTGTAGGTTTTAGGGCAGGAGATCCACACAGCTATGGTAATTCATTTTATGGAAGCATTCTTGCTGGAGATATTTGTAATTATGGTGCTCAAGGCTGAAGAGTGTAATACTTGAAGAAAACTCTTCTTGGCCGAATAGTGAGAATGGTAAGATTTTCTATAATTGCTTTAGTTAAGTGAACTTAAAGCTTAAGTTATGAACTCGTTGTTGGTAACATAGTGTTGTTGGATGATTATAGGATTTGGAACCAATGAATATTCTGCATCTCTTCTATGATAAAGACTCCACCCGGCAAGAAAAGGGTTTGCCACCAAGCGTGCCAGCATGCTAATGTGTGTCGTTTGTTTTGGGAGTTGTTGGATTAATGTTTTGTGCTTGTATATTCTGTAACTGTGCGTGTGTACACACAATATGTGACTTGGACTTCTTTTGATGCAACTTATTGATTATAGAGTTTAATGGGCAGGTTCCCTAAGCAAAGGCATCTAGTGTTTTAGTGGAAATAATAGACTTAAACGCAAACACCTCTGATCTCTATTCTAATGTTGTTCTTTTAAAAAAACACACAAATGTTGATTGCTTAAAAATATTTTATGCATAGGGGAAAAGGATTTTTTTTTTTTAAATTAATACTCTAGTTTATCTAATTTCATATTACAAGATGGAAGTATTTTGACCAGTCTTTCACAGTGACACATCTACAGCTTGTAATAACGTGTTAAATTTTACAGGTAGTTGCATCAGAATAAGGCTTTGTCCCGTCTTTCACAACATTTTACTAAACAACTCATACTATTGTTGAATATGTCTTGTTTTGAGGACTATAGAAGCATCCTGGACACTGTGTTATTACCATTGGATTAGCATCTTAAATTAATGAATTCCAGTAAATTATTAATGTTTAGATGATCTCTATATTCATTCTAGATTAATTCTTTACTATCCATAGATCTACTGTGTTTGAAACGTTAATTGTTTTAAGACTTCCATAAGTGATAGTGCTGAAATGGGGGGCGGGCAAACACAGTTCCTTGATTTAAGTATGTCGTAGTATAACTCTTTGCAGAAGCAAGGATATATCTGGGATAAGTTGAACAGAGTAAGTGTTGTCAAAGCAACATTAAAAAAACCCAACAAACAAACTACTGTAGGATCAGAAGAAAAAGTATTAAAGGAGAAAGTGAAAGACAATAGGAAGAAGGATCAA